GCACATGAGTTGTAGATACAATTTTATAGATCATAATGGCTGATCGGACATTGTGACGTAATCATATTGCCATTTGAATTAAGAAAAAACTGAATTTTTATTTATGATGTCATTACTTTTTATACTCGTTTGAACGTATCGCTTATCTTGATTGATTGTCTCCCATCTGTGAGTATGTTATTTTTCATTTTGATCACGTCAGCATGGTCAAAAAGAATGATTTTTTAGAGCACTTTTATCTCTGATTCTTAAAAGATGTAAAAAGTAGAAGATGCTGTATTACCTATATATAGGCAGAAGTGAGACTCTTGTTCTTCAGACAACTTTTTGTGACAGAACACCTAAAACTCGGAAGTTGCTGAAAGTTAAAAAAAACTCAGTTTATGATTACAGAAGCTACGTTTTCCTTTACGAAAGAAAGCCGGGTTGTAATCGTCTATAATATCGATGTCTCGAGAAAGGGAACGGATGATTGTTATTTGTTAAAGCATGCTTTGCATACAGGAAGACTTTCGTGTCAGCTTCTTCTTGGCGGTTCTAGGCCAGATTGTAGAACCCCAGGTTGCCGACTGCCAGATTTTCGAGTTCACTTCGCCAAAACACAGTTTGCCGAATGCCAGTTTGCTGAATCAAAAACTACGAATCCCAGTTTGTTGAAACCTAGTTTGCGCTGAAACCCACTTTGTCGAAAATAAAGTAAAAGCAGTAAAACATTAACCACAGCATAACATTCATTTTGAAACACACTCTTACTATGTATTCACATAAGAAATAGCGGCTTATTGTAGTTAAATGATTCTTTTTGTTTTAACCTGTAAATTAATTGGCTATAAGCAAGTAAAAGTCAATTTAATTTGCCTCGCAGTTAAATTGTTTTATTAGCATACCTATAAAAAATACATAAATTTAAAAAAAAAAAAAATTAATAATAAAGAAAATAAAACAAATTAATAATAAGGCCACGTAAAATAAAACAATTGGTTAGCATCCCCGCCCGACCGTCAGAAAATCCCCTGACCTGAATTTTTTTTTTTTTTTTTGTTTTTTACAAAACACACAAAAACTCCATCTCCCGAAGGCAATTTATATAGGCCTAGGCTTGTTTACCATCCGTCCGAACGCCAGCCGACTGGGCTTATCCCTGCAGTTCCATTCCATCATCTAGGCCTTCTATCTAGAAAAGGCCTAGTTTTATAGTAGTAGTATAAAAAGAGTGTATTTGTATACACGGTACAGCCGATGCAAAGCATTAAGATTTACTCGGGATTAGGTTTATATTAGAAAACTAAACTCCGATCCGGTGCTTACGTCTCATGCTTTGTGCAGAAAAGCCAAGTCGGCCAATCAGCGCGTTGGTATTTCCATCACTTTGGAAGTAGACATCCACACAGCAGCGCGAAATAGAAACAATGAGGAACCGCTCTGTGTGGGGACCGGAGACAAGACAACAAACATGGCTGCGCCCATCAGTTTAAAACTGTGGCATGTTCACTTCTTACCTGTGTGCAATATTTCACGAAATAAAATTTTAAAGATAAATTTTCAGGTAGGACAGCATAGATAAATTATTACTGGAAATATAGTGGCGAGATAGTGCATGCGTATATTATATATATTATTATATATATGCGTATATTATATATTTTCGACTGCCTACAATATTTAGGAAGGCAACTTTTACCATGAAGGCTTGGACGGCTGGGCCTAATCAGCTCGGCTTAGCCTAATTGGGCCTGGTCTACCTTTAGCAAATTCTTTATATATTCTTCAAATCTATCGAATGTTACATTAAACTAAAGGTAAATCATATTTACGTTTGATAAAAACAACATTTATTGATTGAATGTACGTTTTCATACCAATAATCGATGGGGATTACTAACGATGGGCGTGGCCCGCCATCGGCTCAGTGCCACGCCCACTGGCTTCCATTTTGGAAAAACAAAATAGGCTGTCTATTTTGTTTTTCTGGCGAAACCCCTGCATGGCATCAATGATGACTGTTTTATTGTTCCAACAAACCCAGTATGGTCCAGTTATAAATGTCCAGCAAACACAAACTTAAACACAAAGCATGGAATATTCACATGCTGGTACAGTGACGTGATGTTTCCAAACAGCTGGTCCAACTAGATGTTTTATCAGCATAAACATATCACATGATACTAGTCAAACTCATTAACAGTATTCACTATTGAGTATTATCACTATATGTACATGCTCAATCACATAAACAATCACAAATAATAATCAATTGTACAAAATGCCAGTTCAAAAATTACGTTTCTGTTTATGAAGGGACAATGAATTATTATACAACTATGACAAACTTCAATCTTCTTATTTTGCTGTTATTTTTATTTTTAATTTCACATCCAACAGCAATTACACTTGCCACTTAGGATGGAACGCTTTAAACCTGTTTTCGATATCATCAGTTCTGTAAACATATACAATGTTGCATGTTTTAAAACTTCATAGGGATTTCAATATGACTGTTATTCATATAGGCAAAGCTTATCTGCTTGATATAGATGAATTACATGATTTCTTGTATCCAATTTTGGCATCTGTTGTATTCCTCTTCTTTGTTTTGCTAATTTTCCTTCCGACGCTGGTTTTTCATGTTCTACGAGAAAAAAAAAAAAAACCTCCCTCCTTCCATGAAATTTGATACCAAAAGGATGCTAACCAATTATTTTTTTTTACGTGGCCTAATCTACAATTATACACACATGCCAATTGTGGCTTCAGAAATTTGTTGACGGGCTCTGACTCAAGGGGCCGACTAGAGCCTCGGTGGTCAGGGACCTGGCACAAGAATCCTGATAGTGTTTGCAGGGGGAGTATTTTAGTAGAATACGATGCTTATCCTTAATTTCATTTTATTTCTAATTTTAACTGATAGCCATGCTTTCAAGTGTGTTTTTTCTACAGCTTTGTTGTCTTCCAATGTTTTTCCTTTTAATTTGTACACAAATGAAGCTCCTTCCTTTCAAATGACCAGTGTGCTGTACTTTTGTAACACAGAGATTTGGACTGATTTTCGGAAAACTGAGTTTTGGCAAACTGGGATTTCATGATTTCAATGAACTGGATTGGGCATTCTGGGTTTCGGAAAACTGAGTTTCTGCAAACTGGGATTTCATGATTTCGTGAACAACTCTGGATTCGGTAAACTTGATTTCAACAAACTGGTCGGATACCTTCTTGAATACTATTGCTATCGGCAAGAACGCATCTTTGTCACTGAAAGCGATTTTGTATTAGTTCCAGATCTTCGTAGCTTCCAAGAAAGGCAGACTTGAAAGACATCCTGCGTACAATGCTTGCTTTAAGGAATTAAAACCAATGCATAAATATCAACCGTTCCATTCTGGAAACATCGATATTGCAGTCATTGCTACTGTATATCTTATTTTATGACAACGGAAAGAGGGTCATTTTAGACGCAAACACTGGCAAATACCGAAGGTTATTCAAATTAAGTGACATTAACTTTCACCAGCTTGCTCCAGTCACCTGCACGGTCAATGTTGGACTATCAATATAAATTAATAATAAATATTAAATAATACCAATAACAATAGTTACAAAAATCGCACTAGCATTGCATGCCCATAACATTTCAATCATGGCGAGTTTACACAAAACCAACATCAATACACATACCATGATATTTACACGATACAATAATTTTTACATATATGTTGTAGTCAATTGAACTACTTATAATGGTGATTGTTGTATTAATTACAACGTTTATATTATTATTGTCTCATCTTGATGCAGTATATCTATATGGTAGCCAACAACTTGTCATTTCAGTAAATTTCCATAAGCATAGTCAAAATTTCAAAACTAAATTAAAAAATTAAAACAATAAAAAGAAACTTACTTGAATTCTCTATTCAACAAAAATGTGACTTAGGAAATGGTGTGGTAATTACTATGGTGCACATCCAACCATTGTTGTGTTGTGTCCAACTGTGTATAGTACTTTGAGACCACCGAACCCAATTACGTTATGTCCGACCCTTCAACATTGAATTACTTTGACATCTTTGGTCATAGAACATTGTAACCAAGTTTGAAAAGTTTGTAATGAAAATTTGGAGCTTTCGATTTGTGCGACAACGCAACGCTAGAACGGAATCACTCATGCGTGACCTTCCTACCTTGCGTCCTACATTCTCTGCATACGTAGATTTGGCCAAATTGCGTTCCAGAATCTACTCGACAAAGTGACCTTAACGTTCTCGCATACGCAGATGACTTTTATTAATGTCATTGTCGTGCAATCAAAAGTTCCCTAATAAAAAAATAGTTTGTTGTTCATTGTGACCTTGACCTTTGACCCTGACTCTTTACTCCCCTCCAGATCTTTGGTAAAAGAACATTGTGGCCAAGTTTTATATATTTTTATTTTTGATTTATTCATTCTGAAGTAATTATAAGTAAAAACATTCAAGGATAAAAAATACAGAAAAGTACAAAAAGCAACTTATTTCCACTGTGGTCCCTAAATGAGAATACAAAAATTACAGAATTTGACGAATTTCTGATAAAAACTGTTTTAAAAAATCGTATTTGTTGATTGTGACCTTGACCTTTGACCCTGACCCTTCAATTTGTGATAAATACTATAGGCTTCAGACAAGTGAATAAAAAAATAGTTTTTCGTTGATTGTGACCTTGACCTTTAACAGTGACCCTTCAAAATTTAATCAGTTCTAGATCTTTTGTAAAGGAAGATTGTGGCCAAGTTTGATTAATTTCTAATAAAAACTATGGGCTGTAGGCTATTCACAACAAATATGCCGAGAGACAAATAAATGAATAAATAAATAAACGGGCAAAAACATAACCTCCTGCTAACTTTGTTGGTGGAGGTAACAAGAGATTAAAATAAACTCGATGTTTAATATTAATAGTAAATGCAAACTTAATTATACTGTAGCTGGTAGACAAATTATTATTGTTTTTTTTTTTCCTAACAGCTTTTCAAGATCCATTGCTTAGATGTACCTGTAGAGCTCATAGACAGCACAATTCATTGTCGACCAGATGGCGCAGAGTTGCTTGTTCAATATTTGTATACCAAATTAACCAATAGAAAGTAAGTTGTTAGATCATAAGTGGTTTTTATTTTTTTTCAAATACAAATCATATCAAATTTATAAGGTGAAGCTTGCTTGGGATCCTGGGGAATGCATAAGGTCCTGGAAAGAGAGTAAAACCTGGATGGGGTCAATGGTGAACCCCTTGAAGCCGGAGTTTTACGTTCATTAAAAATCATATTCGCAATGATACTGTAACTCAAAACTCAAGCTATTACTATCATAATGATATATTATAACAAAGTGCCCTCTATTATTGCTCTTGAATTTTGACACTGCTTTCTGTATTATAACACAATGTTAACAACATTAATACTAAACTAACTTCTCATGTATACACATTATGACAGCAAATAAGCCTGGTTCACGTCGAACTTTACCTAGATATACCCCTCTTGAAATATGCTACGATAATCCCCAATTGTGTTCGATGCCAAGTTAGAGCCAGATAAACAGCCAGCCATGGTTTCAGGCTGTTGACGTCACATGGTGGAAAGGCTTGTTTAATTAAACGTCTACTGTATTTTACGAACCTCTAGTAACAAGGGGTATTCGTTAAAAAAACTGACAAATTCGTAAACTACTGTGTGTAGATCAGGTGTCAGTTTCCACTACCTAGCCTAGCCGACCAGTACGAACCAACCGACAGTGCAGCAGCGTGTTCTATCACAATCTAAGTAGTAGTAGACTCTCTAGGCCCTAGCTAAATTTACTGTACCTTCGATAAAAAATGAATTATTTTAATCGCTAGCATTCTTCCATTTAACAAAATATTGTTTTAATTCTCGTTAAAACGTCTGTATACTTTATGGACCTTTCTGTCCTGTTTTGTAGTTTTTAGATCGCTCAATTGTGTTGTTTACATTCACTTCGCGAAAATCTAGCTTCGCGGTGTCAAATAAGTTGCTGACTTCAACACACTTTTTTATTTCGTTATCATAAACATGTGCGCTCATTTTAACAACTGGTGTTGGTGGTAGTGGATGTGGATGCTTGGTTTATTTTGTCATTCTGATCGGATTTTCTTTACTGTTCCGTTTTAATTTTAAATTGTTTTGCATTATGTGGCCGTTT